ATGTGTTGCTGCTAGCATACATAACACCTGACGTGGAAACGTTACTCGTGGACGGGGCTACAGAGCTGCTAGAAAGACAGTCGAACCCGGTGCATTCCTCCGTCTGAATGTGGTGCACTTTTGCTAAATGTTTAGACAAATTGCTCGTGTTACCGCCCTTACATGATAAACTCTTTTTGCACTTTTGGCAACGAGCATTCTCCACATCGAGACGGGTAAAGTTTAACCACACCTCGTAGCGCGTTCACTCCGCCATCTCCGCAGTGTGTTGCATGCATGTAGCATCTGCGTGTGTGTGTAAACTGCCCCGCCCCCTCGCACACAGGCGGGGGAGAAAAAGATCTCTCTTCTGGATTGGAAAGATCGAAAATACATCATGGACGCATTTTTTTGTCTTTTTGCATATTAGAGACGAGTTGGCGACACTAAGACTGCGATATAATGCTTATGTAGCAATAATACATGACATATATTTTAAATGTCTCCAGTACCGATAAAAAGACCGATAACGTTGGAGCTTAACGGCGCGTAAAACACACGTGATGACGTCACCAACGAATCGACGACTGAATTAGTTGGCAACTAATTTGGTAATCGATTTGAATCGATTAAGTCGATTAGTTGTTGCACCCCTAATTGTCTGGTCCTTCTTCCTGTGTTTTTCATCCCTGTCGTTAGTTTCCCTGGTGTGTCTAATTGTCTGATTGTGTTCACCTTTCGCCCTTTGTGTTTCTCCTCCCCTGCCCGGCTGTTTCTCGTCTTGTGATTACCCCTCCCTGTATTTAGTCTTGTCTCTTCCTGTGTTCAGTGTTGGTTTGTCTTTTGTTGGTGACTGAGTTCACCGGTGAGTGTTCTGTTTTGTCCGAGTTATTTTCATTATCCTTGAAATAAAGGTTAATCAGAGTTATCTGCATTTGGGTCCTGCTTCCTTCACTCAACCGTAACATACACACTCCGACAGAGTGGAAGTTAGTACAAATGTTCTATAGTCACCAACTTAGCTTGTTAGTGCCCTTTCATGTTTCCGCCCTCTTGCCTGTCGTCCCGGTGCATTTTGAGGTATTTAATAAGCCTTTGCTTTGGCCTGTTGTCACTGCTTCAAAGGGTTTGTTTGAAGTTTAAGACTTTAAGGTTAGAATGGGGTTCAGGTTAAGGGAAGCAGTTTACATACAGCAGATGGTGCATGATCACAGGTAAAATATATGAAACTTCTAAGTGTAAAACATAATTATATAAATCCAAAAACAAGATAATAAAAGGATTCCATTTTGGCTACGGGGCGGAAAAGAGTTGGAGATAAGCCTTTAGTTGTGATGGTTAAGGTTAGAATAACGCATAAAGTCAATCTCACAAATATAGAGAAACATTTGTGTTTGTGTGTGCTTCTGAGTGAGGTATTACCTTGCACAGCCTGGAGCTTATGTGTCTGTATAATGATGCACAGCTGCAACACCAGTTGTGGAGCGCTCTCCAGAAAGGTGGCCAGTAAATGCAGCATGCTCACATCTGCAAACTCATACACCATCCTCCAGTAGTAGCGCCAGTGCTCAGTCACAGAACTCTGACGACTCCGAACGCCCAGGTAGATGGTGTGGAAATACCTTGAAGGAAAACAGAGAGAAAATATAGTGCTTTAACATCAACCAGACAGGAAAAAAAATATATGTAACATGACTTTAAGAAGGAAAACAAAACACTGAAAATAAAAAAAACACAAATCAATAAAGAAACACCATGGTAGATACTGTTCCTACGGGACACCAAAAACTGACGCACAAGTCTGAGACATGTTGTCGTCATGCTAGTAGCACGCTAATGAAGTTATTGAAGTTGGCTATCAGTGGTGTTGGAAACTGAGCTATAATGTAACCTCGTCCATTTTTTTAAAATCAGTTTAAATCAACCAAAATAAATGTATCTAGGTCACATTATTAGACGCTGTGCCACATCTGTTATTCATACTCATGGTAAAAGGTCATTATTTTTTAACCTCAAGCAGAGGACAAGTGCTTATATTAGCACTCAAGCCTCTTGCTATTACTTTAAGCCATTAGTCAGGTGGCAGTAGAGCAGCAGCTCTCTGCAGGTGACGGAGGATTTAAAAAGGAGTGAAGGCCGCAGTCAAGTACTCAAGTAGCTTTGAATTTATGTCATCATTTCAATCCATTACCTAATGAAACATCTCATTAATTTGCTAGCATTTTAATGCAAAATGAGAAATATACCTATAGGTGTGAAAAGTGTGTTGTTCATCGACTTATTAAGATTTTCTATGTTTTTATTTACTAGCTGCTTGAATGTTCTAAGTTCTAATTGCATTGTTATTGTTGTGTCTGTAAGGCACTCTGTAAGCTTACTTTTGAAAAGTATATGATTATATTATCAATTCAAGTTCACTGTCCATTCAAAGCCCATTATAAGAGTGTAGTTGCCCTTGTTTTTTGGTATTAAAGAAATGTTCAGACTGGTGCAAAAAAACAATCTAACAAAGAAATACCATCAGATTAATTATTATTATTATAATAAGCTTAATAGTAATAATAACAACGGTTTATTTGCGAAGCACTTTTCGAGAAATAGCCATAACTTGCTTTTCAAGGTGAGAGAACAAATAACAAATATTAGGGACTATTGTAAGATGTTAATTCATCAAAAAATAACGGTAGAACTGACAATTGTGAGGATCTACAGTGTGTAAACTGTGTTCGTTATTCTCCCGTCCAGGAGAGAAGCTTTAAAAGGAGGCTAAATGGAGTCTCTGTGAAAGTTCAATTGGGTACTTTAATTAAAAAAGGCGCGGGTTGGTCACAAGCATAATATTGTTCAGTCAGACAAACAGCTGTGATCCGCTCCTCGTTAGGGAAGAGAAGAGACCCGATCCCTCGTCCGGTGCTGTCCTCTGCTGGCTCCTCCCCGCCAGCCGGCTCGCCTCGTCTCCAATGTCCGTTGTTGCATTTAAACAAAGGATTGGTTCTTTTCACATTCAATATATGCTTAACACGCCTTTTCTCCTCATATTCTCTTTCATCACTTTTCATGTAACACATTCTAAACGCTGTAATCAATACTCTAAAAATACAGAAAATACTTCACGGCTGGTTTGGTTTCCGATCATTCCGGATGTTGTCACATGCTACTCTCGTCTGTAAACAATAATGTATTCAAATAAACTGTACCTTCATTTAATATTCAGCATGGTAGTATCTCGACATCTATAGTTGTAGTGTTAAATCAGTAGGCTTCGGTTTGCACCACTCCATATCATTTCGCTACTAAATTCACCTCTTTTGGAAATTGTAAAATTTACCACATGCTAACTGCCAACCGGAGATGAAAGAGTTTCAGAATAAAGCTTAACAGCTGGTGTTGCACAAGAATTTCAGGTTTTTCAGTGTAAAACTGCATTAAAACTGACGGCATGTTTAAACTACATTTCCCCATTAAAACATTGATTTTAATTTCTAACAAGGGCTGCCTCCTTCTTTCCCCCTTTTCCATGATGGAGTCGATAATGTTTTAACATATCACTTTGAGTGGTGACACTAGTGCTNTTACTGTTTAACATTTTGGGTTACTTATGTTACTTCATATTAAGGCTAATTACATAGCTAGTAGCTAGCACGTTAGTTAGCATTACAGCCTTGTCATTTTATTAGCCTTAATATGAAGTAACATAAGTAACCCAAAATGTTAAACAGTAAGAGTAGTAGCTTTTCGTGAACCCTTTGAAGAGTACTATCACCAGTGTGATCATTCTATAATACACCATCTAAGCCCGGGGGAGAAATGCTAAGGCTAGCATCGGCGATCGCCGATCTTTTCTACTTCATGCTATCTGCACAAATGGTTGACATTAAACCTTAAAAAGACCCGTCAGTTCAGAGAGAATCAAAGGAAGGCAGGCAGGCAGTTTTGCATGACATTCTTCTGGACGTGTTTCATTGTGGTGATAGTGAGGGTATTGTCAATCCCTTTTTTGACAAGACAGTAGTGACGGCCATCTTGGTGACGTGTGTTGTTGTGCTAGTCTGCGGAGACCAGAGATGTAGTTCATTGTGCGTTTCACACAAAATGTTTTGTTACTTCACAGTTTTACGACACATTTTAATTTTTTGGACTTACAAAATTATCTTTCAAATTGACAAACATCATATGTGTAATTCGTGGCACAATTCAAACGGGATCGAAAGATAAGTTTTGTCTCTCCATTGACTTCAATACATAATTTTTGCGAAATAAGGTCCCATGGAGCTCCCCCGGAAGGGGAGGGACTTCGCCACTCTATTAGGTATCCCCCTCATCTGACCTACTTTAATGCATATGTATGAACCATTTTTGTGTTTGTAAAAAGTATATTTCCCCTCGAGGGATTCATATATGCCTCTTTATTTACTTTTGACAGTGCCATACACCATAAAATGATGCCCAGCTCGCTGCACATTATCAGGCTGATTGCATATATATGGCTACTTACTAAATGAATCAATAGTTTGAAACAAAATATTGATTGAAAAAGGGATTTTAGTGATTTAATGATGTTAGCAACCTTGCCCTTTAGCCTTCTTTGGATTAGCAACACTCTTATGTGATCGGTTATGAATAGCACATACAATTTATAATATATATTTTTTAAATCGCTTAGCCAAATTATCTTATAATAGAAATATGTGACTGATACATGATACAAGTACAAGTTAATACCAGCTCTTTAGTGTTAAATTTAATTATGTACTAAAATCCATGTATTTATACCTTATTTAATCTAATCTTGGTATGATACATCGATGCAGCAATATTTTCGAGACATAACAACGGTCTTTCTAAGTAAATCGACCATAATGGGTTCATTTGTAGTGTTTGTGCTATGCCAACACTTTCAGAATCCAGTCTGTAATTCACGCTCTGAGAAGCAATCTGACATTGAAGAGGAATATCTCCTCCTCTGGCTGTGAAACTGACGGCAGATTTCACAAAATGTTTTTGTTCTGTACGTCTCCCAGGGATGACAGCGGCTGCCTCCCTAGTCTCTTTGGCCTGGGCCCTGGCCTCCTACCAGAAGGCCCTACGGGATTCTCGGGACGACAAGAAGCCCATCAGCTACCTGGCCGTCATCATCCAGTTCTGCTGGCACTTCTTCACCATCGCTGCCAGGGTCATCACTTTCGCCCTGTTCGCCTCTGTGTTTCAACTCTACTTCGGCATCTTCATTGTGCTGCACTGGTGCATCATGACCTTCTGGATTGTCCACTGCGAGACAGACTTCTGCATCAGCAAGTGGGAGGAGATTGTGTTTGACATGGTAGTGGGGATCATCTACATCTTCTCCTGGTTCAACGTCAAGGAGGGACGGACAAGGTGAGGACGCTTAAGTCCATGAAGTGTGATGAGACCTGAGGAAAAAAGTTGTTTCTGATGCTTGATTTTTTTTATGTAATGTAAGGTCCTTTTTTATTCTGTGTTGTAGTCAAATTACATTTTATTTAGGAATTTTGAGTTTAAGATAACTTTGTGGTGAAGAAAATAACTTTTGTGGTAAAAACCTTTTACGGTGGTTTGCCTTTTATACATTCATGGTCATTTGTAAATGGACTGCATTTATACAGATCATTTCCAGTCTTTGCAACCACCTAAAAGGCTTTTACATATACAGCAAATCAAGCCACCCATGATGGGCTTACAAAGATCTGTGTTGGAAAGATGACCCTAATCACTGAAATGATCACAGCCCAATGTCAAATGCCCAATTCCAAACACACACTTACCTATCTTGTTCGCTAACTGTTCCTTTCTATCATGTCTCTGTGCAGGTGTCGGCTCTTCATATACTACCTGGTGATTCTGGTGGAGAATGCTGCTCTCAATGCGTTGTGGTACCTCTACCGCTCGCCCCACACCACTGACGCCTTCGCAGTGCCAGCTCTCTGCGTCATCTTCAGCAGTTTCCTCACCGGAGTGGTTTTCATGCTCATGTACTATGCCTTTTTCCATCCCAACGGGCCTCGCTTCGGGCGCTCGCCGAGTGGCCAGGCACTGGACCTGGACCCCACTGCTCAATTCTCCACGCTTCCGTCCGAAGGTGCCACCAACTCGCTTCGTTCCAACCGGGGTGCTACCACAACTCTGGAGCGCGACATGGGGAAGTATTCCGAGCGGGACGGCTGCATGCCAGTTTTTCAGGTCCGACCCCCAGCGCCATCCACGCCATCGTCCCGTGCTCCGCGCCTCGATGAGACCGTCATCAAGATCGACCTTTGCAGGAACCGCTACCCTGCGTGGGAACGCCATGTCCTCGACCGCAGTATACGCAGGGCAATCCTGGCCATAGACTCCTCACCGACTCCTCCGCGGCTGCAGTACAAGGACGACGCTCTGGTGCAGGAGCGGTTAGAATATGAGACCACGTTGTAGTTCCACTGCTCTCAGAACCCAAAGAGGGGTGCTGCGGTCAAAGGATTATCCTGCTATCACAAGTAGAGCAACAGGGTCTGTGGCAATAAGAATTTGTTACTAACAACAATCTCACGTTCCATCTCTCATTACCCCTTTTCTTTTCTATTCCGTAGCGCCACCAAGGATGAAAGACGGTAAGCTTTGATTGGTCGGGGTCCAACGTGTAGTAGTTTTGACCACGGCAAGAAGCGATTACTCTAGACCGTTTCGACTGAATTCCATTGCTAGGCTAAAGCTCGGGTCTATGAGTACTTCCTGTCAGGTTATGTTATGAACTTAGACTGCAACACACAAAATTAACTGGGACACATTTAAAATGTTTATGTTTACAACTGTGAAAGGGGCTGTAATTGCCCAATGTGACACAGTGACCATAAATATTGTGTGTTCCAAACATTTTCTTCTTTGGCCTAGACATTCCATTATTCTGGGATGATGCTGGTCTTCACTGGAAAAAGGTCATAAAGAACTGAACTAGTAGCATCTATACATAGTCATTGTGTTTTGTTTGGGTACAATTAACCAAACGTGGCAGGAGGGAAGGATGGGAAGCGACAAAGATGAGGTGAAAGCTGGACAGACACAACCTCACTGTTTTCTCCTATAAGAGATAAGTCAAACTCAAACAATGCCAAAAAAATATCTTCCTGGCAGCTCAACTCAACTACTTGCAGTCCGGCCTCATAAACATGGCTGTGCTATGACCTTTGTGGAGGTGATTGTGTGGGGTGTGGATCAGGAGGCACAAGCAAAAGCGCTGAGATGAAAATGGGAAGGAAGACACATAACAGTAATCTCAGCCAAACTACACCAACCACCAGGAGATCTCTGATACTACATACATCATTTGTTTACTTTAGAGATGACGTAGAGGGTACTGAAGTCATTGTTTGTGGTTTGAGTGTCCATAGTCTGCTTTTTCTTTCATAAACACGTCATCTTCTGGGCAAAATGTTCCAGCAGCTTTTAACATCGTAACACCGAGCCACACAACAGAGCATGGTGCCGGCTTAGGAATGCTAACAAAGTGTTTTTTGATTAGCTGACATCCCACATTAAGAGCTTGATATAAGACTACCATTGTACCACATATTATTTTTAGGAAAGGGTATCTGATGGAATCCAGACATTTTCAGAGAGGGATGCCTAATGCACAGACAAAAAACAACAATAGGACGTGGGTGCAAGTAACAAAGTGTACCTGTACCAAATTAGACTACATTTTAGGTGAAGTAACAAAGGAAAAATAATATATCTTAATGGAAGTTTGAGATTATGTTAGCATGGATGCTAAACTCTACAGAGAGGGCTGATGGAGACTTACTTCTATACATACATACTGTAAGGTTCTTTATACAGTATTCAAAACATTAGTATATTAGCAACGATGTACTATGCAAAGATATAGTGGTTTCTGTGTGTTGTAATTTGAGCTCCTCCGTGCTTTCATATCGAGCCAGTCCAGCAGGGTATGCATGCTAGCGCATGTGAGTCCTTTGTTTGGCTAGCTAATGGTCACTGTTCTGCACTGCGCTTACACGGAGGTTGGCTGTTACGTTTTCTAAACATCCTCGTCCTTACCCACAGGATGTAGCGCAAACTCAGAAATCAGCCACCCTTCGTTTCTCCCTCAGGTCAACATAAATTGACCAGATTTTCACAATTAAAACCGGGGACATTTTGAGTTTTGCGGTCAATATATCATTAACATATCACATTTTCTTTACTGTTAAAGAAAAAAGGGGGACAATTCTGGTTCAATGTAATTCGAACATTTTAACTGCTGTAATAAACTGATGTGTACTACTAACTTACGGAGCCCTGGAGGGTTCATTGAGAGAAAAATAAATAAAACGTGGCCACGTTTTACTTTCTCGTTCGCACGAGTTAATAAAGCTTGCGCACAAGTTAATAAAGCGTGGCCTCGTTTTATTTAAATTGAGGGATTCCTGTCCGTGACTCACAGTATCTGCTGCCTACAGCTGTTTTATAGAAGGAAAACCTCCTTCACTTTATGAAATCTCTGCGGCACCAGTGGCCTGTACTACGAAGCAGGATTTGCTATTTACACTATTCATTCATGAAGTATGACGCTGCGCTGTCAGCACGCGTCTCCGTGTTTGTGATTGGTCAAATGTTGCTAACCCCGTCCCTTTCACGTGAACGCGCTCTCGGTTGATTTACTGAGTTGATAACCAGCTTCGTAGGACCGCTTAGCGACATCGCGTTTGTTAGGGTTAGTTAAGCCGGGTAAATCGAACATATCCAGGGTCTGTTGAACTGGCTTCGTCGTACAGGGCACTGGAGGCAGTAACGTGTAACTAAGCAGAATCTGAGAAGAGCAGCACCAGCTGCAAAGAGCTGTGCCTTTTACTGTTTACTTCACTGCGTTTCCCTTCATTAGAACAGCTGAATAGAGATCGAGGCTGCTACGTTTAACCACACACACCTCTACACACATCGAANATATATTTTCTTAATGTTTTAAAATATTATTTTTTAATATATCTTAGCCCCTCATTGAGGGCCTACTAGAGTAAGGTGACCAGATTTTCAAAATTAAAACCGGGGACATTTTGAGTTTTGCGGTCAATATATCATTAACATATCCAATTTTCTTTACTGCTAAAGAAAAAGGGGGGACAATTCTGGTTTAATGTAATTCGAACATTTTAACTGCTGTAATAAACTGATGTGTACTAACTAATTACTATAAATGGTAACTAACTAACTAATTAATGAAACCTTTCAGAAAAACTGATTTCAATACCATGGTAAGTGAACAGAGAGACACAGCTATCAGACACACTGGGACAAAGCGATCAAACTGTTTTTGGATAACCACCAGGACCTCAGCNCTGTTAACCCAAGTGTATCTAATAATGTACTCTCTATTTTTAAATATCAGAGAGGAAGAACAGAATGAGAAGGGAAAAGAGATTGTACAATTGTGAGAAAGACAAGTTAAGAAAAGGGAGAACGTTTGGAGGGGAAGAAAAAGTTAACAGATTCCACCTAGAACAGGTGGAATCTGTGTCTCTGTCCATTGATGCATCCAGTCATTGACGTGTAAAGCTGCTACAAGATATTATAAGATACATGATAGCACATCAGTGGAAACAAAACTACTCGATGTTGTTGAACTCAAAGGAGAAACAGCTGAGGAAATTACAGCTGAGGTCCTGGTGGTNGTAACTGTTAACACAATTGTATCTAATAATTAGGGGTGCACCGAATGGGAAATTCTTGGCGGAAACCGATACCGAAAATGTTTTCGGCCAACTGTTTCCTATTTTCGGTATCGGTTTCCGCCAAGAATTTCCCATTCGGTGCACCCCTAATTATTAGATACAATTGTGTTAACAGTTACATTGTTTTCATCAATTTATAAATTGACAGGCTCTGTAATTATATAATTACCATTTCCATTTTATCCCTTCACATATCTTCCTAAAGTGTTTATTCTCTTCTTACTCTCCACGCTACCTTAAGGATAAGGCAAAATAATCTTCTGACTTAATTTTATTTATTTGATGAAATGATCAAACCAAGGCCTGAAAACTGGCATTTTATATGGAAGTGACTCATATAAAAAACATTTTTAATATTGGATACAGTACTATCAAGCCTACTACACGAAATGGACAGGCACATATATAGTTTATCAAAGATGCTCCAAAGTAGGGTACAAGTTTCCAAAACCCAGTGAAGTAGCACAATGCAGAATTCCTACAATTAAGCGGGACAGTGAAGGGTGTGTTAGGGCGATCAAGAAAAGAGAGCGAGCGGCGCAGTTAAGAATGAGAGAGTTTACGGAGCAGATCAAGAGAAACAGGAAGACAAAAGAAGAATAATAATGAGCAGTATACTCTGTTTACCCAGTGTGTCATGACAAGAAACGTTTTATTTCACCTTGCTATGTGATTTAAACGTATATTAAAAAACGGGGACATTTCCGGGGACAGTTTCAACCGGGGACAGGCCAATAGAAACGGGGACTGTCCCCGGAAAACGGGGACGTCTGGCCACCCTAGGTTAACACTGTTAGCTCTGTTAGCTTTCCCTGCTAGCACCATTAGCTTAACCCTCACCATGTTGAGAGCTGTGTGGAGGCAATCCCTCAATCATAAATATGATCTGAATTCCGCATTGAGAACCTTTATTGAGATAGAGGTGGACTTCAGTTTAGCTGTATCGCCCACTGAAGACCTATTGAAGTAGACGATAACATTATAGTAATGCAGCCACTAAGTTGTACTACAATTCCTACCATAATGTTTTCCCATAGAATGAATACCTGGATGATTAAAGTGTTGAGGTTCCATCAGATCAGCAGTATGATATTGATGTCCTGGATCAGGGCAAGATGGTACCGGATGATAAGGAAACAAAACTTAAAGATCCCATGACATTGCCATTTCTACTGATCATAATTCCATTGTTGAGGTCTACTAGAATTTTTCAATGTTCCAAAATCACATTGGTTTCTCATACAGCATCTCTGTATAGTATGTGTATTCACTATCTGTCCTACACGGCTTGTTGGAGCTCCTGCCCCCCTCCCTATGAGCCCACATACAGAACGATTTTAAAAGCAATGTAAATAATAACAAATTAGATGGAAAAACTGATTTAAAAAATACAGATTTCAGTATTCTGACACAGAACGATTTTGGAAGCAATGTATTTATATTGGTAGTATGTTTCGTGCCAGCACCAAATAATAACAAATTAGAAGGAAAAAAATATGACAAAAAATACAGATTTCAGTATTCTGAGGCTCTTTGCCCCATTTCTTTTCCTCACGGACGGCAAAAAAATCCGACATCCATCCATCCATCTTCTCCCGCTTATCCGTGGTCGGGTCGCGGAGGTAGCCGTTCCAGCAGAGAGCCCCAAACTTTCTTTTCCCTTGCCACATCAACCAGCTCTGACTGGGGGATCCCAAGGCGCTCCCAGGCCAGCGAAGAGATATAATCCCTCCACCTGGTTCTAGTTCTACCCCTTGGTCTCTTCCCAGTTGGACGTGCCTGGAACACCTCCCTAGGGAGGCGCCCAGGTGGCGACATTATACAATTTAAAATAAAAGGGATAGGGTTAGACTTAGGGTAAGATATTGAGTAAGAAAATGTTTTCATGAACCACACAGCTTCTGGTATTCCAAGACCCGACCGGACAAAAATATGTGGTGCAGGCACGAAACATACTACCAATAGAAATACATTGCTTTTAAAATCGTTCTGTGTGACACGAAAGAAATGCGAAAATCGTGTTGGTGAACACGAATCAATAGATTAAATTAAGTTTGTGACTACAACACGAAATTACGTGAGACTGGGTTGGAACATAAGTATTTATGTGTTACAATGGCATTTGTTTGCAACCAGAAAATGACACCAGTAATGACAAACAGATGAGAATGCTGCGTGGGGTCTGGGTGCCATGTTGGCGGGACGTTGCGGGGCTCGCTGCTGCGGACTGTGAGCTGGATTACTGGGGTAGTTTCCTGGTTGCTGCGTGGGGTCTGCAAGGAGTTTGTGTTTGTGCTCAGGCTGAGTTCAGGTGAGTTTCGCGGTGTCTCGCTGTCTCAGGCTGAGTTCAGAGTGAGAAATCCGCGGAGCCGCAGCTGAGAAAAGATAAGGCTGAGTGAGTGTGTGTGTGTGTGTGAGGAGCTCCGCGGATTGGTCCATTTGTTAGAGTTGTACTCGCTACAGGGTGTACTTTGAGGGTTTGTGACTCTGCAGACCGTTTACATGCAGAAAAAGCTACATAAAACACAAGGGGACGGGTAATAACCGGAAAAGCATGACATGGGCCCTTTAAGATCGGACCCACCACTATTGGCACCGAGAGACAATGTCCTGTCATATTGCGTCAGAGGAAAGTTCAGGGTCGGACCATCAAAATAGCTGGAGGAAAAACCTCAATTAATAGCAGATTTCAATAAAATCCTGGCATTAATGATAGTTCAAAATGTTTTTTTCAAATTACAATGATGACTGAATGGTGGAGTTTAAGCAAAAATAAATTCCATGATGACACTTACTGTGAGTTCTGATTAAAGTGTTGGACAGATACTGTCCATAACTCAGGCCTCACTGATATCAGTGCCAGTACCAGTCACATTTTCATGGTGTCCTCATAATATACTGGGCTTAATGAAAAACAAACCCTCAAATGTCACAGTGATACGAATCAGAGTGCAAACAGACAGCTCCAGACTGCAGACAATGGAGAGCTCTACCATCTATGCCACACCCCCAATTAAAACTGCTTGACTTCAGGGAATGCTGGAAGGCAAGAAGAAATTACATCATCACATATTTCAAATCAGCTGCCACATTCACCATGTTCAGGAATTTCAGCTCCCTAAATTGACATTAGAGTCAGGGGCAATGATATCTAAGGTAGTGTGACTTTTACATTTTATAATGTCTGCACAAAATAAACATTGTGGTTCTTTTTTTTTATTGTTTTACGTCACAAGTGCAATGTGTGTTTTTTTTTCCACCGATGGCAAGAAGAGAGCAAAGCACAACATGAGTCAAAGGGATGATTACAGCATAAACTAAAACCCTCTTCATCTTGCTGAGACCACCAGCCCCCGGCAGTCAGCTGCTCTGACCTCATCTGGTTTAACCATTCATCTGTGAAGTCTGAGTTCTGTTGCTGATCTTATTCTTTTGGTTACAGTTATACATCACTAAAACGAGTGTGTAAAGCCCAATATATATACAACCCACAGAGGGAATCAGGTTTCCATGTGCTAGTTTCCCAGTAAATATTTTCATATTCCATCTATTATTTGTTATTAAATCAATAGAAATCAATTGAAATGCCTGATTTTAGTTCTTACAATTGTGTTTTGTTGGTGGTGGAAAGCACAAA